ATTCCCATTTACTGTTTGAGCTTCCAAAGTGCATTATCTCACACATATCAGAGCTGAACTCCATCTGCCACTTTCCTACCCACGCCACTAAACCATCTATACCATTTTGCATCTTACAATTATCCTCTACACTACCCACTACATGGCCAAGTTTTGTGTCTTCTGCAAATTTCTCAAGTGAGCCCCCCACATTCAAGTCCAAATCATCAACGTAGAAAACAAACAGCAGGGGTCCCAACACTGAGCAACGCTGAGCACCACTTGAAACAGCTTTCTATTCACAAAGGCAGCAATCAACCATTACATTTTGTTTCCTGTTACTGAGCCATCTTTGGACCCAATTCAACACATTACCCTGTATCCCATAGGCTTTTACTTTATGGACCAGTCTACCATGTGGCACCTTGTCAAATACCTTACTAAAATCCATACAGATGACATCCAATGCACTCCCCTCATTCACATCACATAAACTGACAAGCACAGACTGATAACTAAACTGATATATCCACATTGTAGAAACTGACAGAGACTGACTGATAAATATATTTACATATTCACACAGTAGTAATCAGTCACTGTCTATTTCTGCGATATAAATATGTGAGTTTAGTTATCAATCTGTTTATATTAGTTTCTGCCATGTGAATGTTTGAGTGCAGTTATCAGTTACCTGTCAGTTTCTGCACTGTGCATATGAGGGTGTAGTAATTAATCTCTAGTTGCAAGCATCTGTTACTTCAAAACATGAGTTTAATTATCAATCTGTACCTGTTAGTTCCTGCTATGTGAATGCATGAGTGTAGTGATCAATCTGTTCTTGTCCTTGTGCTCTGTGAAATGTAGCTTTAAATTTGTCCCTGTCAGTCTAATATGTGAATGCATGAGTGTATTTACCACTCTGTACCTGTCAGTTTCAGGTCTGGGAATATGTAAATATAGTTATCAATTTTTATCTGTCAGTTACTTCTATGACAATATGTGAATGTTGTCAGCTGGAACTAACAGATAGTAATTGATATGTTAATATGTGAGTGTAGTTATGGATCTGTACCTGTCAGATTCTGCTCTTTGAATATGTGAGTTTAGTTATCAATCTGTGCCTATCAGTTTCTGCTCTGTCAATATGGGAGTATAGTTATCAATATTTAATTGGCAAATTCTGTTCTGTGAAAATGAATTTAGTTGTCCAACTGTACTGGTCAGATTATGCCAAATGAACCTGGGAGTGATATTTTTATTCTGTCCATGTCAGTTTCTGCTATGTGAATATGTCAATGTCATTATTATTCTGCACCTGTCAGTTTCTGGTTTGTGAATGTGTGAATGTGAAGATGTAGTTATTAATTTGTACCTGTCAGTGCCAGCTAAAAGACTGAGAGTTTCACTGTCGATTTCTGCCTGTTAGTTTCTGCTCTGTCAATATGTGAGTTAAACAATCGGTCTATCCCTCTCAGACTGCTGTGTGAATATGTTTGTGTAGTTATCAATCTGTACCTGTCAACCTCTGCTTGGTGAATATGTTTGTGTAATTCTCAGTCTATCCCTTACAGTTTCTGTTATGTCAATACATGAGTTTAGTTATCAGTGAATACCTGTCAGTTTCTTCTATGTGAATATGTGCATGTCATTGTCAATCAGTACCTATGGCAGGAGATGAGTGTAGTTATCAGTCTATGCCTATCAGTTTCTGCTCTGTGCATCGGTGAGTGAAGTTACCAATCTGTCCCCATCAGTTATTTGAAACCAAGACTGTTATAATCAATCATTCTGCTCTGGGAATGTGTGATTTTACCTACCAATTTCCACCTTTCAGTTTCTGGCTTTGAATGTGCAAACGCATTTATCAATGTGTACCAGTCAGCTTTTATTCTGTGAATTTGTATGTAATAACATTATTCTTCCTGTCAGTATCTGCAACATAAATGTGTGAGTGCATTTCCCCATCTGTCCCTGTCAGTTCCAGCTCTATGAATCTGAGAGTTATTAGTCATCAACCTGTACCTGTCAGTTTCCGAGTTTTGAATATGTGAATGCATTTACCATTCTCTCCCAAACAGTTTCTGCTGTGTGAATGGGCAAGTCAAATTATCAGTCCATGCATGTCAGTTTCTGCTGTTTGAATGTGAGAGAGTCATGATAAATCTGTACCTATCAGTTTCTACCATGTGAATGTGAGTTTCATCATCAGCTTTCTTTTGTCTGTTTCTGGAATGTGAATGAGTCAGGAAAGGTATCAATCTGTACCTGTCATTTTCCACTCTTGTGTATCAATGTGCCTTGATTCTCTGGCAGCCAGTAATATTCTCTGTGACAATGCAACACATTCTGATATAGCTATTAGGGTGTTGAGACTGGGTATTAATCTCTTCCGCATTTTGAGACTTCTGAGTTGACTATCAGTTGGCAGGATCTAGGAGGGGTCATAGAAGTGGGACTGTTTTCCTCTGAGAACCATTCTAAATCGACAACACATTTTCTAGTTTGCGTGCCGAGTGTGGGTTTTATATACCGCATGTACCGGATGCTGGTTTTCGGTGTCAGTACGGGATTTTTTTTTCAGGGTTCCGTAGTATCAATGAGACATTTAGATTCATTTTGAATTGGACATTGTTAGTGCTCTTTCATTAAAAGTTTTGTTCTGCACCTGTCTGTCTATTTCTACATTATATTTTTATACTAATACTCTATACAACGGAATGTCATTTTCTTTATAACCAGGATCAGGATCAAGATGCAGTGCGGAAGTAGACCATTCAGCCCATTGTGCTTGCACTGGGACATTCTATTCTGCATACTAGTTTCCGTTAATTGTTGGGAATGTGAACTTCTTCCACTCTCTGCCAGTGGCTATCCGTTAGTGCCAATTTGACATTAGTTCTGTATTTATCTGCCAGCTTTGTTATGTCTGCAACAGTCTCAGGTACAGTATATGGATTTCATTCACTTTCCATGTTCATTTGTGGTTTTGTGTCTGAATGTAGCATAAACTCTTTAGATATTCACTGACCCTGTGTGATTGAGGGATTAATTTTGCATTGACATTTGTCCTTACCATGAGGCTTAATTTCATTGCATTCGATCTCAGGGTTTTTTTTTTTTTAAATTTGAGTGTACAGTAGACTTTGTCAGTCACTGCTGGGCACTGTAACAAACAAACATCTAACACTAACCTCCTCCCTGTTGTGATCGGTGAGTTTGAGTGTCAGTTTACATTTGCCCATATCTGGAAATCTGTGTAAGGAAAACTTCATTCTTTTCCTTTCATCATTCAATGACTGAATGTGAGCGAGTTTTCTTGCATGCTTCTGCGTCTGTATAACTTTAAAAGACTGGTACTGATCCATGTCACACTGACTGTTTCTGTATGGCTCCTTGTGTTTCTAGCTCTGCATGTCATGATCTGATACTCTTCATGTACTGTAAATCAGTTTTTCATACATTGAGAAAGAGTGTACATGCTTCTGCAAGAGTCACTCTCTCGACCAGAGCGTGAGCATGGATCAAGGGAGTTTTCATCAGTACCGGGCTGACAGTGAACATGGAATTTATTCAGTATCTGGCATTATCTGTCAATCTGCTCCTCATTACTTATCATTGTATTTCACAGTGCAGGAGTATCATTTTAAAATGAACATATCACTTTTAGAAGTTGCAGGAGTTTGTTTGAATGTTCCAATCTCTGCTGCTCGACATAAATGAGTCTTTATCTAATGCCCTTGGTGTCAGGGCCTGTAAGTGAAGATTGATGCATTTCTCCCTTTGTCAGTCTCTGATTGTGTGTTTATTCTAGATTGGTCAGTCTCTGGTCTGAACGTGTATTCCAAACTTTGCTCACGTGTGACTGGCATCCACAGAGAAGAACTTGGAAACTAACATGATTGTGCTCTCGGGATGGTTGAGAGGAACGTCAAGCCCTTTGTAGAAATTTGAAAAAAATTTTGAAAGAGATACACAATGTTTCTTGCTGGACTGAAGGAATAAAGAAAGAAATGTTAACTCCTGTAAGGTGAAGAAATGATAAGGGTGAGGATAGCAGTTCCTCTGCAGCCTCGATAAATTCATGGAAATAGAATGCTGGCTGATTGGGATTAGTGTTGTTAGCTGTGTTTTTTTTTATTGGTGCAGACCAAATGGGCTGAAAGGCCTTTTTCTGTACTGTAGACTTCTATAACTTGAGGGTGTTAGTGGAGATCATTTTGAATGTACCATTTTCTATGATTTGCAGTGTATACAGAACGATTTGGTTGTTCCACATTGTAACATGCACCTTCAGACAGTGAGAGAGTGTGAGAGTTAGAGAGGGAGAATTATTCATCAAAGGATTAATTCTGTCCTTCTCAGTCACTGATAAACTTCATATAAATGTGTTTCATCCACTTTAGTAACTCTTGTCCTCTCGGTGAGCAGGTTCTTCCCATTTCTGTACTTAACATCTCGCTGAGGTATGGCTGTTGAAACTATGATCTATTTATTTGTCTTGATTGTAACTCTGAAAATGCCCTTATTCAACGCAGATTTACTACTGTTCCCGAGTGTCTATTTCGGATGACCATTCAGTCTATCCATCTTCAAAACTGGTGTCAATGTCAATGGGCTACATACCTACTGTTTGTTAGAAGCAGCTGGTCACACTTGGCTTTGTACCGAGGAAATATAACAACATCCTGGTCCTTCAACTATTTGCCTGGGGGAAGACAGAAGACACACCTCCTGTAAATCAACATACAGAAAGTCTGGCAGTATTGAACTAATCAACACAACACTAAGTTCATAATCATTGGGATGTGTTTTTTTTAAAAAAAGAAAACTAGCAATTTGAACAGAACCAGAGGTCTTATTCCCTGTTCCCCAGAGCTGCTCCTTGTCTGGAGATTCTCATTGTATTTCTTTTTTCTGAAATAATTCGATACCAACTGAGGGAGATCCAGAAACGGAGCAACAATTAGCATGGGGCTAACCGAAGCAACAGGCATGCATACACAGTTCAATATCCGGCTCCCAACACACCAAAAGTTAAAAAGGAAGAACAAAGGGCGCTATTTTAAATGTTTCAGGTGAGAAATTTAACCTGGTGACTCAATTACCTGTCCTTTTCAGGGTTATAACATTCCTCTAGTCTGTGTTTCCACTGTTCACGGCACAATGTCTAAAAACAGCGTGAAACAGAAGCCGAACGACGAATTTCCATCACAGTTTAGAGGATGAAAAGCCACAAGAATAACCCCCAGCAGCTTCTTTCGGCTGTGTCTCCCTCAGCAGGCCCACACACAGCCCGAGAAAAGCCTCTCTCTTCCACCCCAGACCACTCACTCCAAGTTCCGGGACCGGTTCCTGCTCCGCTCAGCCTCTTACAAACAGCCCCCGGTTCTCCCTGAACTGAGCCCGAATCAATGCCAGTCTCGGAGGCTCCCTGTGTCCCAGGCTCACATCTCCATGTGCTGCTGGAAGGAGCCTGCTGCTCCCTCGCTTCCCTGGGCGCTGGTCTCTCCATTGCGGTCTGTTTCAAACAAACCTCTTCCACTCACTGAGTAAATGCTCCTCAATGGCAGCGCTGGGGGAGGGCCTCACGCATGCGCTCCTCTGGGTTGTGTGTTACCATGGGAAATGCAGGGCGACAGGGAAAGGGCGGGGGATTGGGTCTGGTTGGGATGCTGTTCAGAGGGTCGGTGCGGACTTTTATTTGGACCGAAGGGTCTGTTTCCACACTGTAGGGATTCGATGATGATTCTATGAAGTTTGCTGCAGATTCGGAGCATAAATGTGAACTATATGCCAATGTTTTGTTCTACTCATGTAACCTTCCTTACTGTTTTCATATAGAATAAAAGTTAGAGCACAATTTTGAATGCTCCGGTTTCCTCCCCCAATCCAAAGGTGTGCAGGCGAGGTGGATTGGCTATGTTAAATTGCCCGTAGTGTCCAGGGATGTTTAGGTTAGGTGGGTTAGACATGAGAAATCAAGAGTAGGGGAATAGGTCTGGGTTGGGTCCTCTTCAGAGGGGCGGTGTGGACTTGTTGGGCCAAATGGCCTGGAGGGATTCTATGTCTGGCAGCATCTGTGA